ATTTTCTAGAAAGTCTTCCAAGTTCTTCCCAGCTACCATGTCACCTTCAAGCAAGTTGAGGGCAAAGACAACTTCCTTTAATTCTAGAAATAAACAGAAATGTTATTTGGTAATTGAACTAATGTAGGAATTAAAAAAAAAAATAGCCATCACTAAAGACTTTTGTCAGTGGCAGTCCATGGTTTATTATCACATCCTGAGTTGAGGTGTAAGAAATCTTAGCACGGAATCTAACCCTTAGGGATTCTATGGCCAGCAGCACAATATGCATGGGATTCTTGCTCTGTCATGTTTTCTCTGGTGCTAGTATAAAACTAGCAAATTGTTAAAAAATGACACTGATGACTTAGCTTTTTATTGTAATTATATTAAGTACTTAACAGTCATCCTCTAGTGAAATACTGGTTAAGACATTTGGCTGCTAACCAAAAAGTTGGTGGTTGAACCCACCAGCTACTCTGTGGAAGAAAGATGAAGTGATCCACTTCTGTCAAGCTTTACGTACAGCCTTGGAAACCCAATGGGGGTCGCCATGAATCTATAGCAACTCAATGGCAGTGAGTTTTGGCTTTGGTTTTATTAAGTACTTATTTTGCCATGGAACTCTAATGGAAGCAAACAAAAAATTAATCCATCCTGAGAGAGGTGAAACAAATTACAAAATCATGAGAAATGTAAAACGTAAAACACGAGATTCACAAGTTCTCATTCATATCTTTCCTTTTCAGTTCTACCAGGACCCAACTGTACCATATCATCTGGAATTCTGCTTCACTTTCAGCCCTCTAAAAGGAGACAGTGGTTAAGTCAAATCTGAATTCAAATCCTAGTTTCTCCTCTGATTAGCTGTGTGATCCCAAGTAAATTATTACTACTTAACTTCTTCTATAAACGTCATTAGTCTTATTTCTAAAACTGAATAATAGCATCTACCTCACAAGGTTGGTGTGAAGATTAAATATGGTTAAGTATGTGCTAAAGGGGCAGGGAGGCCGCATCTTCCAACCTCCTCTAATCCCATAAGAGGAAGACAGAATCACCATCAACAGCCCAAGGCCTATTCCTGTGAGGCCAAACATACTGCCTACCTCCAGCCCTTTCATCAACCCTGACACCAACCGTTCCTCCCACAGCACCCACCACCTTTCTGCTGGGTTCAATAATTCACTGCAGTTGGCCACAAAGAACTCATACATTATGGGGTTTATTAAGGAAACACCAGGCTACAATTCAAGCTCAGGGACAATGCTCAGTTTCAGCCCAGTTTCATTACAGAAACTGTCAACTTTTAATCAAAAGTTAAGTTCTGACTGTCTACAACCAGATCAATGTGACATGTTAACCAGAAATTAGCAGCTGTTATCAGGAATACTAAAAAATAAAACAAAATAAAAAAGATTTCCACCCAATGAAAGTAAATTCATAAATCACAAATAATGCAAGACTTACCATCTAACCTTGAGGCATCATACATATTCTTTATCATTTCTGCAAACTGTACTTTGTCATCTTCTGCAAGAAAAACTTAGTTTTAGCATTTTTTTAATATATACAACAAAAAATGTTTTCCACTTTCTTTTTGTCTTGTGGTAAATATATATATAACACAATATTTGCCAAGTCAATATTTTACGCATGTACAATTAAGTGATACTGATTACATTAATCATGTACAACCATTGTGAGTATCTGTTACCAAATTTTTCATCCCTATAAACAGACATTTAATGCTTCAGTGTTCAGAGCAACACTGTACACAATAGCCAAAAGGTGGAAACAACCTAAATCCCCTCTGACAGATGAATGGGTAAAAGAAAAAAAATTTTGACTTTTTTTTCCTTGTTAAGAGATAGTAACCAACAGAAGATGAGTTTCCTTAGAAAATTAAGTACAATCTATTTCAACAAAATAGAATGGATATCCCAAGTAGTGTTATTACTGTAACACTTGGATAAAACCTGGATAGATCTCTGAATATTTCCTAATCATCCCCTCTGTGTTCACTTGGGTGTGCCATTTTGAGTAATATACTACACAGTAATATACTACACAGCCTGAAGGTACTTGTTACATTGTTGACCCGTTTAGAGTAATAAAAATTAGATATTAATATTTTTTTCTACAGGAAAAACTATTTGAACTTTCTTTATGTTTCTTACATATATATAATGGCTTTTTAATCATCTGCAACATTCTCTCTCACCAAATATAAAAGGACAAATAAAGGTTGACAGAAGATAAATCTATATTCTTGTATACTTTTTTAATTTTAATATTTGGAATACCCACCATCAGCTGTTGCTAGTTTCAGTGCATCTAAGAATTCATCATTTTTCAAGTTACTATTCAAACTAGACAGAAAATCCCACAGGTCAGAAACATGGATCTTCTCTTTGTTGAGATTGTTGAGGTTTTCAATAGCATCAGGCAATACTAAAGGGTCAACAGAACACAAGGGTCAACAGAACTCAAGTTTTACAACATCCTTAGGCAAGCAGTTAATACAATAAACTGTTATCTGAACTAGTCAAGAATTGGGTTCTTCTGGTTAAGAGCAATAACAAATATAATTCCTCATTTTCAAATATCAAAAGACAACAAAATATCTAACACTAACTGCAATGAAATACCACTTCACCCCACTAGGATAGCTGATGCTAAGTGAAGTAAGTGAAACACAAAATGTTAAATATTGTATGATCCCACTTTGATGAAATATATAAAACAGACAAATGGATAGAGATCAATTTTTTAGTGGTTGCCAGGGCAGGAGGGAAGAAGTCATTATTTAGAAAGTATTATGTATCAGTTTATGGTAATGGAAAATTTAGCAATGGCTATTGGTGATGTTTGCACAGCATGGTTAATGTAATCGATGTCACTGAATTGTACATGTAAAAAAGGAATTAGCAAATGTTGTATTATAAATATGACTTAAGGCACCTACTGATGAAGGTTGAAGAATACAGTCTGCAGTATGGATTACGTCTCAATATAAAGAAAACAAAAATCCTCACAAATGGACCAATGAGCAGCATCACAATAAAT